GGCACGTGGGGAGTGAGCCAACAGGTCTCTCTCCTTTTCATTCTGTGTGTGTGTGTGTGTGTGTGTGTGTGTGTGTGTGTGTGTGTGTGTTACTTTGCTTTACAGAACAAAAATAAAAACAAAAAGTTCCTGCCTTTGTTGAACTTGGATTCTATTGGGGGAATATGAAGAGGCTGAAAAATGTTTTCCCCTAATAATTTAAATAAGACTTCCGATTAACATCGTGAATCTTCCAAAATAAAAAAATATTAAAACTCAGGTAAAAATATCTGTAGCTAATGCATAATTTTGACATAAACTCAGTATTTTTCCTAATCGTGGCCTAAGTTTCATGTTATTATTGTACAATCAAATTGTTAGATACAAATGGGATTACATATTCCTATTAGTTCTTTAAGTTTTTTTCCTTAAACAATAAATTAATCTTTTTAAAAAACTATTAATCTTAGGTGTAGCTTTGTGAAATAAGACTATATTTAAAACTGTTCTAGTCAAGTAGATTTTTAGCTTCCTCTCTTTTTTGAAGTTTTTTTGGTTAAATTTTTATTTTGAATTTTTGAATTTTATGGTACAGTGCAGCTTTTCAGTTGTACAATAAACTGCATAAATTTGAAGTCTGTAATTCAGGGAGTTTCAATATTTCACATATATCTATGAATCTGTCACCAAAATCAAGGCAGTGAACATGAGTATTATGCCTTTATGTTGGAAAATATTAGTTTGCATTTGTTTTAGTGTGCAGTGTTTGATCAGGAAGTGTTTTGGTGACTTGGAAGTAAATGTTGGGGACCAGCATTGTGGCATAGCAGGTTAAGCCTCTGCCTTCAGTGGAAGAGTCCAGCGGGTGGATGATTCTCGTCTGTCTCTCTCCTGCCTTTCTCTAACTCTGCTTTTCAAATAAACAACAAAACAAAAACAAGTATCAGGATTTCTGATTTCAGTTAGTAGCAGAATGAATTATTTGGGGTGAATTTTCTCAAAGATGAATAATGATAGTATTCGGAGGAGCTATGTAAAGGTAGTGGAAACTGGTAAAAAGCAGGGAAACACTGCATTTGGCCCTCACTAGACTACAGCTACGACCGAGTTCTTAGTGAATTTGTCGGTGAAAGTTCCTTAAACTCTGGTCTCATGTGGCAGAAACTCCACAGGCTTGGCAGTTGGTGACAGAAAACATAGTTCAGGGCTGTCAAAGTAGCTCGAAACTTAAGGGGAAAAATTCTAGAAATGAAGGGGCAAGGCTTCAATCTGAGGATGAGATTTGCTCAAACCTCTTGGTAAGCACTAAAACACCTATGCATGGGATACTTAGTCCAGCCTAAATGCTTTTAAAATGCAGGCAGAATGTAATGTGAGCTGGGCCAAAATCTAAAATACCAATATACTAATACACTGGTTAAGTTTGTATCTTACTTTTTTTTGCTGAATGCCTTCAGTGACCTAAGCATAGCTGTGCTGGCAGAAAGTTCATGTTTTCCTGGCTTAAATAATCAAATAGCAAAGCTTATGGGTGACGAAGCAAGTGAAAATTCCTAGGGGTATCCTGGAGGTGGAGGATTGCAGAGCCAGCGAGGCCCCAGATGAGCAGGTGAACGCAGCCAGGGCCTTGACCGTTGAACTGCACAGATGCAGAAGAGATCTCCAAGCAGCTAGGCTCAATAGAGAACCCAGCAGAGATGAGCTGCTCCACACTGTGAGAGAGGAGAGGCAAGAATCAGCAGTTGGAGTCTAGGCAATCAGCTGCCCATTGGGAAGACCCACTAGCTGCAGAATAAGGTAACAGTATCCAGAGTCATTATTATTATCTGTGTTGTACAGCTTTTAGCCCAAAATTACTAGATATGAAAATAAATGAAAAATACTGATCCATCTTCAAGAAAAGTATAATTCATATTTAGTGAATGGAAAGTGAATCCATGTGGGTTCAGGTGTGCGACATAAGTCTTTCAAAGAAATTAGTATAAATATATTCAAAAGGAGTAAAGGAAAATGTGTTAGAAAAATCAATTGTATAACTAGCCGGTGCATGTGAAAAATTGGCCCCTTTTCTAATACTATAAGACAAATGTAATTTAAATTTAAATAAATTTGGGTTGGGGCCAGTGTGATGGTTTAATTGGCTAATCCTCTGCTATATGGGCACTGGTTCATGTTCTGGCTGCTCCACTTCCCATCCAGCTCCCTGCCTGTGGCCTGGGAAGCAGCAGAGAATGGCCCAAAGTCTTGGGACCCCATACCTGCATGGGAAACCCAGAAGAAGCTCCCATCTCATGGCTCTGATTGGCTCAACTCTGACCATTGAGGCCTTTTGTAAAGTGAGCCAGGGGAGGGAAGAGCTTTCTTTTTGTCTCTCTTCTCTATAAATCTGCTTTTCCAATAAAAAGAAATAAATCTTTAAAACAATAAATTTGGGTTACACAATTTTTTTTTTTTCATTTGAAAGGCAGATTTTGCAGAGAGAATGAGAGCTATAGAAAGGTTCCCCATCTGCTGGCTCACTGCCCAAATGACCTCAAATCCAGAGCTGAATATATCCTTTTGCTTTATATCTTACATCATATATGATTTTAGGTTGTTATTTATTATTTTATCTGAGACCAAAATAATTGCAGATTCATAAACTTACAGATTTGAAGGGATGAAGAGTATGCTCTCCTTCGTTTTGTAGAACAGGAATTGGGCGAGGTCCTATCAGTCTGGGTTTGGTGAGAAGGAACAGAACCCTGGTGTGTGTTGTGACGGTGAGAATGTAATGGAGGACGCTGGGCTTATGAAGACACAGGGGAGGTTGGAGAAGGGCTCTGTGGTGGGAGAATCAGGAAATAACCCGTGACCCCAGAGCAGGAGGAGCCACCCGGGCTCTGCACCATCCGGAAATGACGTGCCTTCCAAATCTTAGCACATTTCACTCACTGGCAGATTGTGGCCCAAAGCTGCAGGGAAGAGGATTTTGAGAAACCTAGTTCCAGACCTTCGAAAGTACTACCAGTGATGGTACCAGGTGAATTTGTGCAGTTATGTTTGGGTAGTTTCACTTTTATTTATTTTTTTCTACACTATAATGTATGAATATCTAAATTGGCCATTAAGCAGCCCTGCAGTCTGATGTCTTATATTTTTTTCATGGAATCATTTTAGATGACTCCCTTTTTCTGTATATACTGTTATTAAGGGTTATTTTTTTTTTTATTTGAAAGATAGTTACGGAGAAAGGAGGAGAGATGGAGGGAGATTCTACCCGCTGGATCATCCTAGTGATCTCAGTGACCAGAGTTGGGCCAGGCTGAAATCACGACTCTGGAACTCTATCCAGGTCTCTCATGGAGGTGGCACAAGTACCTGGGTGGTTTCCTGCTACTTTCCCAGGCTCATTAGCAGGTAGCTGGATGAGAGGCAGTGAGGCCAGGTCTCCAGCCAGTGCTGCAATGTGGTATGCCGGCATTGCAGGCTGTGGCTTAACATGCTGTGCTACACTGCTAGGCACAACAGCATTGCTCATAGCTACTGACTCACTTGAGGAAAGGCCTAGATTGTCAGAGCTGCAAACTGGAATTTCTAAAATAATTTAGATTCCAAGGCTTGGAGAGAAAATACAGAAATAAAGACTGCATTAAGAACTGCTCAGAGGCACTAAGAAAGTTCAATATTTGCCTTTTCTGAATACTTTTGAGACTGAAATCCAGAGTGGTGTTAGAGAACAGTCTGTTTTCTCCCCTGACAGAGGAAGGGTTGACAGAGCACTTACATTGATGGGTTGAACTCTATGAGGGTTTTTTAGTTTGCACATGGTTAAAATTACTGGTAATGAACAACTACTATGTATCTTTTTACCTGTTCACCTAGAATTTTCTTTTTGTATATATTTGAAACTCTTCCATGACTGACTGTAGGAATATTTGAAACCAAGTCAGTATTTTTTTTTAACCTGTTATTGTTTATTGCTTCCCAAGTGAGTGTATTAGAAAAGCTTGGCAGATTTGCATATATATGTTCTGAATCCTGAGGTGTTGAGAAATATGATGTAGCATAGAGAAGAATTGAATATGTGAATAGTAATGTCATTTTGGAGGGTATTCTTCCATTTAGCAGAGGGACATTTGAATTTTGATGTTGAAATACATAATCAAATCTGTAAAATGAATATATTTTTATTGATAAGTTTTAGTGATGATTCAAGAAAAAATTATGAGATTTGCTTGTATATTATTTTTAAAATAATAATTGTTCAAATTATGTTACTACTGCATGTGAGATTAAGTTTTAGAAGCTTAGAATGATATGGTTGTTTTTATTGCGACTCAATACACAAAATTTGGCATGTTAGGATGATACCTGATAATGTTAGTTATAAAGCAACATTAGTGAGTAGTTGATAATACTAACTGGTATCTTAATTCTTATACGATTCCTTCCTATCCAGCTCCCTGCTTGTCTGCTTGTGGCCTGGGAAAGTAATAGAGGATGGCCTAAAGCCTTGGGACCCTGCACCCATGTGGGAGATCTGAAGGAGACTCCTGGCTTCAGCCTGGCTCAGCTCTGGCCATTGTTGCTTGGGGAGTAACCGTGGATGGCTGATCTTTCTTTTTGTATCTCCTTTTCTGCATAAATCTGATGGCATTTCCAATAAAGATAAATAAATCTTTTATTTTTAAAGATAACTAAAAAAATATTTTTCTAAGTTCTCAGGCAAGCCAAATGTTTGGTGTGTGACTGTTAGTGCAGTCTGTGCTCTGCTGTGTGAAGACCCAGTGGGAAGGCAGCTGGCTGAAAGCCAGGGAGAGGTCCCTTAGTAGAACCTAGGCTCCATCTGAACTTAGTCTTGAATGCTTCAGCCTCTAAAACCATGAGAACATAAATTTGTTTTTTAAGCTACACACAAAGTACAATGTGAGGCCATCAGATTTATGAAAAGAATAACTTGACCTTTAAGACCTAATATGCTGTTTAAACGGGGCAGACAGCATTTATTCAGTAATATATGAAAATATCCACCCTAACAGGTAAATATTGGGAAGATGGATTCACCCATTGAAAAGTGGAATCTAATAATTGGCAACTTGGCTTTAAAGCAGGTAAGTGGTTTATATATGCACTTACAGATCCTGAGCTTAGGAATCTGGCTGTTGCCTGTAAGAATGATAGAAGTTGAATACAATGAAGTTTACCATTATTTCAGTATCTTGAAAAAATGATGAAATAATAACTATGACCTCCTAAAGTTATTCTTTCTCAAGAAATTGAGTTTATCTAAATGTGAAAAATAGAAAACATATAGAAAAATCAAATGTTTTCTATCATAAATTACAATAGAGGCAGAATTTGCATTAGTGTCTAAATGTTTGACTCTTTGGGTGTTGGTTTTCCTCCTTTGAATTTTTGTAAATACACTTTTTGCTTAGTAACATTCAACCTCTTCCTCTATATTATGATTGGCCATTTGAAATTTTCTTAATTTTTTAATGTTGTTAGTCATAATGTAAGGAAATACATTCAATTACCAATTTTGTATGCAGCAAACCCATGGATTATGTATAATCTGTTTTTTTTCTAATCTGAAGTCAATATCTGTCTTCATTTTTACCTACTCTTAATATCTTTAAGACAGACAACTGCAGTTATCCTAGTCTTTTCTAGTAATATGAGATTGAAGAATACACACTAATCTTAATGTTGGTCAGGATGGAAGCCAGAGATGACTGTAGCATTGCTTTGCCTTATTCCATCAAGGATGTTTGAAGAACAGGGAACCACAGCAGGCCCATCAGGACACAGCTATGCCAGCTAGTGAGGCAGCGTTGGTTAGAGCCCAGGTATCAGTTACCAATTACCAGTTGACAAAAGCAAGAGGGAAAGAAGGTGGCAAGGCATGACCAGGGTGGAGGGGAGAGCGTATTCTTTCCGAGTCTTCCCCTGCTGAAACTTGTGAGGTGGTAGAAGACTGTGGAAGGGGGAAAGGATTGGGCTGGCATAAGGCTTTTTCTGCCTGGAGACTGGCTGTGAGGTTGGAGGTAGGAGCGCACCAAGGACAGATCACACGCTCTCACTTGTTGGAGGGTGTGCTCTTCCATCTGTTATATGGGGTCCTGAGCTGGTGACCTGTCACGGATTCCTGCACGATTTTACAGAATAGCTGCTGGGGCCAGTGCATCATTTTTCAAGTAAAGCAAAGTGCCCAGTTCCATTTGAGGAACTGTGCTTCACCACGAGGGATAGCTCCTGCACCAGTGTCCCCTAGCAGCTCCCCAGCTACCGTGTGAAGCCAGATTTTGCTTTTTCTTGGGTACAGTTAGTTAGTGTTCAAGCAGTCATTCCCTTCCAGCTGAGATCTTCATCGCAGCTCTGGGCTTCTGTTGCCTTAGAAGCATAAACACTGTCATGTCTGCAACATGTCCCCAGCCCTGTGTGCCAGTGTCCAACTAGAAAAGACTTGGAATCATGATGTTAGAATTTACATTATTAAATAATTTTATTGCTGTAAAGTGTTAACTTTATGTTATTTTACAAGCCAATAAGAAAATTCTGTAATACTTTAACAACCACTCCAGTTACACTGGTGGTTAAGTCTCAAATCTGTGTGTGACATCGACAAGAGCTGTAATGTGTAGTTGAGAAATATGATTTAGCATAGGAAACAACTGCGTGTGAGAATCCAGGTGATCTGGACTCTGTGGTTTGGTCTCTTGCTTTGCTATACCACATGGCAGGTCAGACTTCCTCTGGAGTTTTTCACTTGCAGCCCCTCGAATCTAGTTTGTGGGTTGGCTTCTGTGAGTCTGATTCCCCAGAAATTCTACTCAACCATTGAGTGCTTCTGCTTCTCTGGAGAACTAAATCTGTAGTTTTCACCAGGTTGTTGAAGAGGTCCTCGTGGCAAACGGTTGAGTCAGCAGAACAGACTGTTCCCTTAGGGATTCTGGTAGTGCTGACATTCTGTTAATCTGCTTCCAAGAGGTCACAGTCTGTTTCTGTTTTTTTGAGTGTTGCAGTGGGAAATGCTTGATATGTTTATTTAAGAATTTAAATCTCAAAGTTTGTTAATGCCACTGTCATCTTACACATAACACTGATCATAGTAATAATTGCTTGTGAGGTTATTTTTAAATATTTGTCTTTCCTGGTGACCAAGAACTTTGTGAGAGTTAACTAAGTCTGTTCCGAGTGCTGTTGTAGCCCAACACAACGCCTAGCGTGTTTTCTGTTAGAGTTAACATAAGCACTGGTTGAACGAATAGATTTAAGTAACTTTCCACGAGATTAAGTGGTAGAACTTGTGATTTGACTATAAAACCCAATCTCCTGTTCTATACATGTCTTTAGGTCAAATTTCAGACGTGTGGGTTGGGCACTTTTCAGGCTGAAGGTGGTGTTTTCTTAGGTGTGAATTACACCATCGAAATCACACAGGCTGCTTATTAAAAACAGACGCCTGGACTCCATCCTGTGCCTCTTGCCACCAGATCAAGGTAGTTTGAGGACCAACTGTCTTAGGAAATATTAAAACTAAAACATAGCAACTTCTTTCAAAGATATTGCAGCTCAGTTACCATGGCATTATATCTTCTGAGTTCTTGTACGTAATATTTATATAATCAAAAACCTTCCAAATATGTTTTTAAATTAATAATTCATTTGGATTTTATACCAAAAATTTAGGTGCAGGCCACCGTCGTTGGCTTTCTAGCAGCTGTGGCGGCAATTATACTGGGCTGGATTCCAGAGGGCAAGTATTACCTGGATCATTCCATCCTTCTGTGCTCCAGCAGTGTGGCAACTGCCTTCATCGCGTCTCTGCTACAGGGTGAGCTCGTTGGTTAATTTCTGCAGTCTTGTACTTCTAAGGGATTTGTCAGGATGATGACTTAAAAGAAAACTTGTTCATTATGAAAAGAATAGAAAACACCTACAAACATTAAGTGTAACTTAGTAATTTCAGATATTTCTAATACTCACAAACCTGAGTATAACAGGCTTTCTGATGAGTTCTGCTTGTCTGAGACTCACTCGTGTAGTTGCCAAATAAGATGTGGAAAGTAGTTTAGAGTTCATTTCTGTGAGTTAATTTAATGGAAAACTTCTTTTTGGAAATTACATGGGGAAATTCCTGATGTGTCACTTAACTATGAGTGTTCCAGGAATTCTGAGTTTCAAAAGCAGTGTCTCAGTTACATGCTAAGCTCAGATTTTGAAAATTTCTTTACTTTTCGTTGGCAAAACAAGTATTGTCACTTTTTTTAATACTCTAAAAGAATTTTTTTTGGCGATGTCTATCTATGCTGTTGATCAGGGTAGGAAGAATCGAGGTTTAGGGAAAAGTGGGTGTCTTCATTGTTTCCAAATCTTCTATTTTTTTTCCTGTATCTGGGGGAAAAGGGGAGATAAGGGAAGAAGCCACATCTAGCCTCCCAACTGCCCCAGTTCCCAGGTATGGGAAACGGCCACCTGATATCAACACTGGGTCCCAAACGTAGCGCATCAGAGTGTGCTGCCCAAATGGTTTCAGTAGTTCTGAAATGATTTTGATCTCACCGATCCAAGGATGAGGAAACTCTTGCAGTGTCCATTGGCTGACACAGTCGACCTTAGAGTCTCCATTCACCCAGATTTTTCTGTCATCTTTAGCTGGGGCAGTTGTCCAATTTGTTCTGTTCTCCTTCCTCTGCTGTGATACTAAATGTTCTCTGTAGGCTCCTTCATGTACTTCAGGGCCGGTTGTCCACTGATCTTTCCTTTCCACTGAGGACAAGTTTTCTCAGGTGGGCCCAAGGACTCAGGCTAGGAAGCCTGGGCCCCACCGGATCCCCTGTCCCCAGGGCTCATGCATCTGGCATCCTCTGCTCAGGCACAAATGACTGCAACAGCCAGAAATGGGCCAGGAGCTTCTTCCAGGTCTCTCTCTCTCAGATCTTCCATTCTCTGCTGTGCTCCTAAGCATAGTGGCTGGGAGCAGATAGAAAATAGAGCAACCTGGTCTTAAACCAGTACCTATATGTGGTTGGTGAGAGGCTTAGCTTGCTAAGCCACAATGCTGCCCTGCCCCCTTTAATTTTCTAATTGCTGTCTTTCACCCTTATATCACCAGCAAGGTTAAAAATGGCAAATTTTCATATCAGGTGATCATACAATGGATGGAACTTTTTTTTTAACCTAGGTTCTGGGAATTCAAAGAGATTTAATAAAATTAAGACTTGATTCCCAAAATATTTCCAAGCATTCATTTAAATACTTAAATATTATGAGGGATAGTTTTTTTTGTCTTTATATAAAATTACTAGAATTGAGTGGAATGACATTGCGTAAAATTAATATATTGGAAGATTGTATTTCTGGTTTAATTTTCTGTCCTTCCTTCCCTCACCTCTGCCCCAGTTGGGTCCTTTGGTATTTGTGTCCAGATTTTGTTTGACTTAGAAAATGTTATTTAATGTTTTGCATTTTAAGAACTATTTGAAATGGCTTGGATTTTTAAAACTCAGCAATTCAAAAAGCTTAGATTTAAAAACATTTATTCATTGCTTCTTGTTTTGGATAAAGTGTGTTCTAGTTTTATGAAAACTTGACATTACCATGCAAAGCAGATACTGTCAACCACATTTTGTAGATGAAAACAATACCTTAGATACTTAAAGTAACTTGTCCAGTTTCAACATTTTATCAACCATAGAATCAGAATTAAAACCCAGGTTTTGTGACTCCTCACGCTTTCTATTGCACCATAAAGTATGCAAAACATTAAAAAATATTTATTTATTTGAAAGACAAAATTACAAAGAGAGAGAAGAAAATTCTATAAAAGACTTCAACATCCAAGGCTAGGCTAGACCAAAGTCAGGAACTTGAAACTCCGCCTGGGTCTCAAACATGAGTTAATGGTCAAAGGACCTGGAATGAGACTTGCTGCCTTCCCAGGTGCATTAGTGCTGAACTGGATGGGAAGATACCCCGTTTTTTTTTTTCTGTTGAAAACACAGTGATGGCACTGTGTCATGAGAAAATTTCCCATGTGGATATTTAAAAGTTTTGATTTTTGGGAAAAGAATTCAATAAATCACAACCTGTTTGATTGCTGAATCATAAATTCTTAAAATTTTTCTGCTATTGCTTTTTTTCCTTTTTACATATTTAGTATGCAAAAGTACAATGGTGGAAAAGTTCTGCAGAATATTAGATACATGGCATAATTTAATGCAAAACAGAAATTCTGTTTTTTGAATTTTGGCTTCATGGGGGAAATGAGAATACTGGTTAGGGTCATATAAGCTTTGAATGTGGCAAACATTTAAACCCGACATCCTATGACCTTGCTTTTTATTATCCATAAAACAAGCATACAAGGATAAAAGTCATTTTTGCTCCAAAAAATCAGCGATATTCCATTTAAATTTTCTGTAGCCATATTTAAACTTCGCAAATAATTAAACATTTTGTTTTTCTGTACTGACCCTTTTAGGGTGTTTGCATAGCATAATCTATTGAATTGCATTGCTAATACAAATGCTATTTATAAGATTCAAGAAAATAAGTTGTTCAGCTACACAGTTACATTTTATTTCTACTTTTTGTCATTTTATAAATAGAAGCTTGTGTTAAAAGAATATCTTTAACAGACTGTTTCTTGTGTACTAGCCTCTAGTGTTCAAAATTTAATTACATCCTGCTTCTAAACATCTCAACACTTTTGAATAGTAAAACAAGGCAAGCTTTTCAATCTACCATATGTGAACAAATCTGTTTTTGTTGGTGTTCTTCCCAGTCGCTATGCATACAAATATGACTCACCTTTATTTGACATTTTCATTCTTCATTGAAGGCTTAAAGTTGAAATCTTTGGGCTTCACACACATAAATTTGATTATATTTGATTCATTTGATTACACACATAAATTTGAGACATCTATGCTACAGACAATTGTAATTTTAGCTGTAACAAATTTTTTGGGTAGTTTTCAGATCTATTATAAAAACAACATTAAAGTTCTCAGATGTCTTATGAGTACCACTGTAGTTTGAAAGGCATTTTGGCCAGGCATGGGTGAAATGTTGTGTTTGTTTTTGTCAACTTACCAAAACATTGTAGCTAGAACTGATATGCTGTTTGTCCTGTGTATTTAAGGAATTTTCTGTCCTTTAGTATTTAGGGAGTTGCTTCTTTAAATAACAGCACAAAAAGTAACATACATTCTTTTTTTCTAGGAATAATAATGGTTGGGGTCATTGTTGGTTCTAAGAAGACTGGCATCAATCCCGATAATGTTGCCACACCTATTGCTGCTAGCTTTGGTGACCTGATAACTCTGGCCATTTTAGCTTGGATAAGTCAGGGTTTGTACTCCTGTCTCGGTAAGTTGGCTTGAAACCAATTATAGTGTTTTACTGAGAGTATCTTTAAATATATATCGTTGTAGCAATGCTAAAAATCATGGTGACGTTCGTCTGTATTAACACTGCTCCTAAGGCTGATGAGGAGAGTAACTTGTTATACACATACTCTGTTGTGGTTCTTACATGTTTCTCTTCTTACAGATTTTAAAACCATAAAATCTTTAATTCTAGTTGTTTGCTCTCCAAGATTACATAACTCATTTTAAAGAGTGGAACATAGATCAGTCATGTTCTAGGACTTCTGCCCTTGGTTCTAAGCATACAGCTAGCTCCTGTTGCATTGAACTACTGTCCCAAGACGCAGAGTCAGAGTGGTGCTTGATGTTTACCAGTATGATGATTGCCTGTATCAGAAATCCGTACCAACAGTTCTCCCCCGGCACTTAACAGAAAAGGAGGAAAAAAGAAGGTCACCAGGAAATTTCATCTAAACACTTTACGAACTATAAATATATTCCTAATTAATAAGACAGAGTAAAAAGAAAATTAAAAAAATCAGACAATGATAGATGAAGATGATTTGTGAGCATGTGTTAAGTAGTAAATATTGGTTGTGGCTTTTTGTTAAGGTGTCAGTTCAAGAAATGGAAAGAAAGCAAAGTGACATTATTATAAGAAAAAAAGTTTATAAGGCAAGCCAGAAGCAAACATTTATTCACACATTCTCGTATTTTTGCTTCTTCAAACTAATTGTACTCCTGTTTTATTTTAAAATACAAGTTCTTGAACAGAGGAAAGGATTCTAACTTACCAACAGTAATAATTTTCTATGATTTTTGGAGATGTGAAAGGGTGCTGCATTTAACTGATAAAATTAAAAACAATATTCAGCTAAGCTTAATGCGTATATTCAAGAAAGACTTTTCTCCTTTAAAAGACACCGTTGCATCCACTTGAAGTATTAAGAATGACAGTAAATGATCAATGGCCTACATGTGTGCTCTCGTTTACATCTGTTAGCTTTGCTGTGCAGTACGTGAGGAAGAATATATGTTCAAGTGTACTCAGGGTAACGTTGAAGTCTTTTCTCTTCCACCTAAAAGATGCACAGAAAATGTGATGATATTAAAGGGATGATATTATAGGGATGGTAGCAATCTAATTTATATTGTTGGGGTTACAAATCGGTCATACTTTTTTCTGAATTATAATGAATTAGATGCTGAAGTTGAGGGTTGAAACGCTAGTATCTCCTGTAAGAGAATGTGGCTTGATATTCTCCTCTTACTCTATGAAGATACTAAACTCACACACTCATAGAAAGGCAGCTGGCCACGTTGTCCCCAGAGGAATGACCTGAGTAAGAGAAAGGAGTCTGGTATCAGTAGGATTTTAGGATACTCAGAGAACGCTTACTTGAAGGGCCTGAGATAGGCATGTTTGTGCACCTACTGTAGACATGCCAGTTTGATAAATGTTTCCTACTTCACGAGGGAGGTAAGAGAGAACAGAGGAGTGGAAGAGGATGTACCGTTCCTTCTCAACACAAGAAAGACAGCAATCCCGTAGGACTGTCCAGCAGCATTGAGAGTGGGGTGGGAATAGGGGATTGGCAGTAGCTGTGGGATGAGTTCCCTAAGTGCCACACCTGAAAAATAAAAGTAGTGTTAACAGATTTTTATTACTTCTAAGTAATTACTAATCAGTAACATATTACTATTAAGTAGTTTATAATTTATTTTTCAGCTGGCTGCTAAGTATCAGGTGTCTCCTCTCTTGAAGACACCATGGTAGCAAAGATTCTTTGCTTGACCAAAATTTGGCTGCTGAACCTTCTCCTAGGCTCCTCTGTGCCCTTTCTTGTAAAATTCAGTTTTAATAAAACAGCTCTTCTGAGTGAGTTCAGCAGGAACAGCATTCTTGACCCCATACCCACCCGACTGTCTTTGATATTTAATCAGCTAACTTCTTAAATTCATTTTTTTCAATGATATAATTGATCAACTCTCCATATAAGAGATTTAACCATAATGCATTGCCATCTAAAGATGTATTTTTACTGTGATGTGGTGAATAATTTAACTGGATCAAGAAATGAAAAAAGCTGGCACTGTGGCACAATGGGTATGTTACAAACTGACCAATTTTATCCCCCAAATGAGTCAGAAGCAGACTCTTAGAAGCTTCAGAGTCTTTATTGACCAGCCGGTGGACTGTCCTGCACCACTCTTAGTGGAAGGGAGCAGCCCTGATAGGCTGCTGTTATGGGCTTTTAAGCTCACACTGGCCTGGAAAAGTATCCAATCTGCTAAACTGGGGTTGGTGCGATGTGATGAAGGGAGAACTGTCAGGAATGCTTGTCGTCTCAAGGCTGGGCGCTCTTTCCTATAAGGATTTTGAAAGACCTGTATTTTGGCCTGAGCTATAGGGGAAACTTGATGGTTGAGTGCTAATCTGAGGATAAGGGTAAGGTTGACCAACTGCCAAGCACCTTTAGGGGAAGCAATAACATTGTGAATTATGTTAGTGTGTCTCTGTCTAAACATTAACATCTCTTTGTCTGGCGTGATCTCTGATCAAGCTTGTGACGTTCCTTGGAGGTCAGTTAGTATAAGTGTCGTGTACTTTAAAACTGTCCATTGGGCAAGTGTTTATACAGACTAAGAGCTACATCCTGCTTGGTAGTGAGGAGCTGAAGCAAGCAAGCAAGCAAGCAAGCATGGTTTACAGAAGCCAGTTTTGCAGTTCACCAAGTTTAAGTAGACAGTAGATTTCTTTCTGATATTCTGGCTCCTTGTATGTGTCCCTAACTGAACACTTGTTTTCTACTCACCCTGAGACCCTGTAGACTGAGAGGGTCTGACAAAACTGACACCATTTTGAATTTTCAGGCTATCACAGGTAAAGTTGCCACCTGCAGTGCCAGCATTCCATATAGCTGTCAGTTCAAGATCTGTGTGCTCCACTTCCAATCCAGCTCCCTGATAATTGCCTGGGATAGCAGCAAAAGATGGCCCAAATCTTTGCACCCCTGCACCCACATGGAAGACCTTGAGGAGGCTTCTGGCTTCAGATCAGTCCTACTCTAGGCCTTGTGGCCATTTGAAAGAGTGAACCAATGGCTGGAAGATTGATCTCTCTCTCTCTTTTTCCCTCTCTCTCTGTAACTCTATATTTCAAACAAATCTTTTTTAAGAAGACCTAGATAATTCTAAGCAATGTTCAATGATATTTTTCAAAATTTTGTTCAGTTAGGCAACATTTCGTCTTATTTTTAAATTTCCTTTAAAAATATTTATTTATTTGAAAGGCATAGTGACAGAAAGAGAGAGAGGGAGATAGTGAGAAAAAGACATCCTCCATTCACTGATTCATTGCCTCCACCTCCCGCCCAAATGGCTGTAATGGTTGGAGCTGTGTAGTTCTGAAGCCAGGAGCCAGGAACCAGGAGCTGCTTCTGCATTTCCCTGTGGCTGCAGGGGTTCCAAGGCTGGGGCCATCTCTGCTACTCTCCCTGACATGTTAGCAGGGAAGTAGATCAGAAATGGAACAGCCAAGACTGAACCAGCACCCACATGGAATACTGGCGCTGTAGGCAGTAACTTTACCTGCTATGTCATACCATCAGCTCCATCTAGGTTTTACTTACCTTCTAAAAATTGGCTTAAAGTAACTAAAAATGACTTCTTAAAATAGTGTCTTATTTCTCATCTGTATTATTTTTCCTCTAAAGATATATCTAGTGTTTAAGGGACACCATTGCAGAGTGAGTCCATGGTGTAATAGTGGCAGGTGTTTCGGAAGGGTCCCAGTGTTTGGGTTGCAAAAGCATCTGCCTCGTGAGCACTAGGGGGCCACCTAAGACCGGCAGAGGGATGCCTCATAGCGATTCTGAATACAGACTAGGAGCAGGCACATTGGAATTTCACAGCCACATTCATCCTGCAGAGAAGCTTGACTCTTAGAAACAAAGTGTAATTCCTGAACTATAGAAAGTATTTAACAAGCTTCAGAGATAAACAAGAAAAAAGATTTCATGGCACCTGTAGGGGTTACAGAGGTCAAGGCTCTCAAAGAACTAGGCAGGAAGACAAATCTCAAAGGCCATTCATCAAGAGGATATTGTAAATATATCTGTAGCCAAAATCAGTGCAGTCGAAGTAATTATTAATAGATCTGAAAGGAGAAATAGAACAATAGTAGAGGATTTCGGTGCACCACTTTGAAAAAACTGGTTTGTCATCTTAGAAAAGTCAATAAGAAAACATTGAACTCAGCCATACTTGAAACCAAATGGTAATAATAGACATTCATAAAACTTTGTAACCACAGAAGAACATACATTCTTCTCAAGATCACTTGGTGTATTCTCTAGGATAGCTCTTACAGTTAGTCACAAACCAAGCCTTAACAAATTAAGATTGAAAAAATATCAAGTATATTTTCTGACTGCAAAGATGAAATGATAATAACAGAAGCAAGACTGAAAGTTCACAAATCTCTGGTAATTTAAAAAACCAGTTCTGGGCTGGCAACATGGCTTTGTGGGCTAATCATTTGCCTGTGGTGTCGGCATCCCATATGGGCACCAGTTCATGTCTCTGCTTCAATTCCTATGAGGAGTGAACTTTGTGAAACTTTGCCTTTCAAGTAAAATAAATAAAATCTTTTAGAAAACTACAAATAGACCTATTCCTGAACAATCAACGAGTCAAAGAATGAATGAAAGGCAAACTAAACTTAAAGCTAGCAGAAGATTAGAGAATAGAAGAAGTACAAAGCTAAGAGGTTTTTCAATTTATTCTAAAAATAGACAAATGCTTAACTAGGAAAAAAATAAGCAATACTCCAAGAAAATTAGAAATGAAAGTGGCTTATAATGGATGCTTTAGTAATTAAAAACTTGTAAGGATCTATTATGAACAATTATATGCGATCAAATTTGATAACCTAAAGGAAATGGGTAAATTCCTAGAAATATATAACAAGATTGAATCAGGAAGAAGCAGAAAGCCTGG